AGCCTTGTTATCCACACGAGTTCAATATCTTCCGGAAGAGGCAAAACCACCAAAACTTTGTTTAGCATCTTTTTGGTGTACAACCTCTTCGTGGCACAGATAACTCTCTGATCCATAGGCTGAATGAGAGAGGTTGTGTTAGGAGGAAGTGCCATACACATTATCTTGCCATCTTGTGAGGTTAAGGTGTCAATTTTGGGGTGGGCAGGTGCATTATCAAGCAACAGCAAAGCCCGAACTTCGCTTGGCCTTACTTTGAGTTTCTTAACTTGATAGGCACGAACTTCCCTGCAGAACAAGTCATGATACCAGGAAAGAAAGATCTCTTGTGTAAACCATGCATTTTGTGAGCTATAATATTTGACTGGCAGTCTGTCCATGCAATGTTACAAGGCTCTTGGTTTCTTAGATTTGCCAACAATTGCACATTGCATTCTGTCAGTGCCGTCGGCATTCACACACATCATGGCCGAGAGCCTGTCCTTGTTGACCTTACGTCCTGGCACACAACCCTCACTCCTCATTGCTAGAGTTTTTTCTGGTAAACTCCTCCAATACGACCCAGTTTCAAATGCATTATAAATTTCATACGAATATAAATATATTTGCCACAATGTATGCTCTTAATTTCTGTTTAAATGGTTCTACACTGCTTTTGTCTGCACTCAATTTTTCACTGACAATTTTCCTCTTCACAATATTGTGCCTACCCTTGAACCTTGCAACCCACCCTTCACTCGCTTTGAAATCCTTTATTCCAAGGCTTGCAGCAAACCTGCTTGCAGCATTTTGTATTTCTGGGCCACGAATTGTCACGCCAGCTGTGCGGTGCTGAGCAAACCACTTATACACAGCCTCATCCAACTGTACATGCGTCGAAGTTTTCATAGTCTTTCTACCACACCCTCTCTCTGCTAGTGCTGCACCTTCACTTTCACAGGTTGAAATGAATTTCGTAAGTTTCTCTTTTTGTTTCCTTATATCAGAAACAGTACTAGTGCCTATATTAAATTCCATGGCAACACTTGAGGTCGACCGGCCATTTTCACAAAGTTGTATAACACGTAGCTTGTCCTTAATTGTTAGGACAACCTTCCTCTTAACACTTTCGCGCTCTCGGCGCTCAAAAAAAAACAATACCCCAGATGCTTTCGGCACTTCGCGCGCCTATGCGGTAAGACCGAAAAAGTGTACACTCTTTTGACTGTCCTGACAATAATTGAAGGCGCACGTATTTAAATTTGGTATCACTGTGTTCGCAATGAAATTGTCTATAAGAGCATACCTATAAAATGCCGCCCAAGAATAAGGAGTATCAACACCAAATAAAAAGCTATGCAGATCACTCGCCGAGAGCGCCAAACAGCAACAAAATGTTTCCACTCTCTTAATGGTTGCGAAGCCTACAGTTGTCCTACATCGCTAATTCTGGTATCATTGGAATCGCAATAAAATTCTCTACACGGACATATGCATATGAATGTTTAATATAGGTAATTGCCCACCCGCAAGTGTGTGTGAAGTGGAGAGTAGTTAGCCGCGAGCGCACTGGCGAAAACACAGGGGGGAAATCATGCTTGGAAAGTTTATACGTTTCCTGACCCTACTTTTCTATGTACGTATTTCTTTTTTATACCAATGTGTTCGCAATAAAATTTTCTATAAGATGAACTGTATAACATTTGTACAAAGCATGTGTAAGAGAAGCGCCAAATATAGAACCACGTTGCTCAGTATGCGTTCGCGGCAGAAACGAACGCATTGTTTTCGTTTGTTTGATGTTTGTCATGTTTATACTTGTTGAAACATTTTATAATTTGTATGACAGTGATCGCAGTAAAATTCCCTACACAGACATATACATAACACATACAAATATTTCCCACATGTTGGATATATCAACGGCTAAAGGGAACCCACTGCCACACGCTCGCCACACCCCCAAACATACTTTGTGTATATTTTTTTTTACTCATAGAAGTTTATGTGATATAATATTCATTCTTGTACCAGAAAATTCGCAAATAAATTCTCTACAAAACAAAAGTATCCCCATCCATTTCGGTTAAAAAATGGAATTTATAGAAATATTTTTTCGATGGACGAGAAAACTAGGCTGTTATGCGGAATCGTAAGAAAAAACGGCGACGAGTTATCTCTAATCTAAAGCGCGAAAGTGTTAACACCTCCAGAACGATTCATGCTGCTACCGTACATAGTTTTGGTAAAAAATGTTCAAAGTTACTATGAAAATAAAAAAGTTATTTAAAAAAATATTTCACTAATGGCGCAGCACTGTGGTGTAACACAAGGGTAGAGAGCACATGGCTTGACCAGGCGTGGACGGGTCCAGTTGGGGCAGGGAGGAGGCACGTTACGTAGGCCGCCAGCAGGAAAAAAAATATATTTTTGAAGGAAACTTCAGCCTATACAAATTGTTTTTAGGAAACTTGTATGGTATTTTTTATTACATAATTACTAGTATTTCTTTTGATTTTGGCTATGATGAATTGTTCTAAAATCAATGGTAATTCCTGTACTGTAGTGTATAGGCCGCTCCCCATCCCCCCCCCCCCTTATCCCGCCAGGTGGTCCCTCCCAACACTCCCCTCTCTCCCGACACCACCCACCTACCCCACCCCTTCCTACACCATGCTCCTCGAGCCACAGGCAGAAGGGATTAATATGGTACGGCCCGCCTCATGGTTTTCTTATGCGGACAATTCCATGATTATCCGGCTGACTGTCCGGATAGTGTAACATCGGCAGCAAATTAACCGGCTCCGATATTTTATCCGGCTAATCCAGCTTTTATCCGTCTCCTGTGGCCATTTTAGCCGGATATTGAGATAACTTAATCCGGTCACGATTTTGGCCGTATAAGGGCGTTTTCCGGATGTTCAAATCCCGGATAATCGCGGGGTTACAGTATGTGTTTTTCGGGTGTACTCTAACAGGTTATGCTAGGGCGACTTTGGACGTTGCTGCGGGTGGGGCGCGACCATAATTGGGAATGTATATGCATATGTCCATGTAGGGGATTTTATTGTGATCACGGTGATATCAAATTGAACAATGTAGGACAAGTGTGGAGTTGACAAACCTGAAAAGAGTAGAAATATTTCATCGCTGTTTGGCGTGCATGGCTACCGATCGACGTAGTTTTTATTTGATGCCAGTCTCTCGCATGCTTTGCTGACATTTTATACATATACTTTTCAGTAAGGGTCTAGCTGATGTGCCGTTGGGCGTGCAGTAACAGGTAACACTTCCTCGAATTCCCACGCTCTTGCAGGTGGGGCGTCGCCATGATTTGCACTGTATATCATATGTCTGAGTAGGGAATTTTATTGCGATCATGGTGATACTAAAATGAACGATGTAGGACAAGTGTGGAGTTGACAAGCCTGAAAAGAGTAGAAACATTTCATCGCTGTTTGGCACACACGGCTAGCGATCAACGTAGTTTATTTGGTGCCAGTCTCACGCATTCTTTGCTGACATTTTATACATATGTTCTTCCAAAACATTCTAAAGCGAACACATTAGTTACAGAGAGTTACGGTGAGGGGTGAGACCTCCGATTGGCGTGAAGTCACCAGTGGAGTCCCACAGGGCTCTGTACTCGGTCCTATCTTGTTTCTGATATATGTAAATGATCTCCCGGAGGGTATCGATTCATTTCTCTCAATGTTTGCGGACGATGCTAAAATTATGAGAAGGATTAAAACAGAAGAGGACTGTTTGAGGCTTCAAGAAGACCTAGACAAGCTGAAGGAATGGTCGAACAAATGGTTGTTAGAGTTTAACCCAACCAAATGTAATGTAATGAAGATAGGTGTAGGGAGCAGGAGGCCAGATACAAGGTATCATCTGGGAGAGGAAATTCTTCAGGAGTCAGAGAAGGAAAAAGACTTGGGGGTTGATATCACGCCAGACCTGTCTCCTGCAGCACATATCAAGCGGATAACATCAGCGGCATATGCCAGGCTGGCCAACATACGAACGGCATTCAGAAACTTGTGTAAAGAATCATTCAGAACTTTGTATACCACATATGTCAGGCCAATCCTGGAGTATGCAGCCCCAGCATGGAGTCCATATCTAGTCAAGGATAAGACTAAACTGGAAAAGGTTCAAAGGTTTGCCACCAGACTAGTACCCGAGCTGAGAGGTATGAGCTACGAGGAGAGACTACGGGAATTAAACCTCACTTCGCTGGAAGACAGAAGAGTTAGGGGGGACATGATCACCACATTCAAGATTCTGAAGGGGATTGATAGGGTAGATAAAGACAGTCTATTTAACACAAGGGGAACACGCACAAGGGGACACAGGTGGAAACTGAGTGCCCAAATGAGCCACAGAGATATTAGAAAGAACTTTTTTAGTGTCAGAGTGGTTGACAAATGGAATGCATTAGGGGGTGATGTGGTGGAGGCTGACTCCATACACAGTTTCAAGTGTAGATATGACAGAGCCCGATAGGCTCATGAATCTGTACACCTGTTGATTGACGGTTGAGAGGCGGGACCAAAGAGCCAGAGCTCAACCCCCGCAAACACAACTAGGTGAGTACTAGGTGAGTACATTGATACCAAATTGAAACACGGACATCAAAAATTAAGGTCACAATGCTGAAAAGAGTATACACTTTTCAGTGTCGCCGCACGATCACCTGAAACGCCAGGCGCACAAGGGCAATATTTTGCGCTCGACTGCCTGGAGTGCTAAAGTGTTAAGGCTATTGGCAGGTCACGTGCTATTGGCACATTTGTTTATCAAGGCTGACTCAATAATAGCTCATTTAATTAAACGAAACTTCTTACAAAAATTTCCCTTAAATAAAATTAGAATATTTGTTGATTAACCGATCACAATTTAGTGTCGTTTGTTTTAAAAATAGGTGTTTTTTTAACATTTCAGTCACTGGCCAAAGATAATGTGTGAGCTTAGCATAAGTCAAATAACTAATTTTTGAAATGGCTGTTTTCTTTCAGGTGAGAAATTCACCAGCTCGGGTCACACGGCATGCTCAATGGAAAGATGGCAAGGTGAGAATAGTTTATTTATTTATTTATTTATTTATATATATATATATATGTCGTACCTAGTAGCCAGAACTCACTTCTCAGCCTACTATGCAAGGCCCAATTTGCCTAATAAGCCAAGTTTTCCTGAATTAATATGTTTTCTCAAATTTTTTTCCTATGAAATGATAAAGCTACCATTTCATTATGTATGACGTCAATTTTTTTTTATTGGAGTTAAAATTAACGTAGATATATGACCGAACCTAACCAACCCTACCTAACCTAACCTAACCTATCTTTATAAGTTAGCTTAGGTTAGGTTTGGTAGGTTAGGTAGTCGAAAAACAATTATTTCATGAAAACTTGGCTTATTAGGCAAATCGGGCCTTGCATAGTAGGCTGAAAAGTGCGTTCTGGCTACTAGGTACGACATATATATATATATATATATATATATATATATATATATATATATATATCATTCAGGCTTGTTCGCATATATATATATATATATATATATATATATATATATATATATATATATATATATATATATATATATATATATATATATATATATATATATATATATATTATTTATTTATTTATTTATTTATTCATTTAGGGGTACCACCACTGGTTTAATTAAAGGGACCCACATCCTCGAAGAAGAAAATAAATAGTGTTCAGAGAAGACCTTGTGGATTCTCACTGAATACTTTAATATATATAATATATATATATAATATATATATATATATATATACTTGTATATAATATATATATATATATACTTGTATATAATATATATATATATATACTTGTATATATAATATATATATATATATATATATATATATATATATATATATATATATATATATATATATTTATATTTAATATATATATAATATATATATATATATATATATATATATATATATATATATATATATATATATATATATATATATATATATATATATATATATATATATATATATATATATATATATATATATATATATATATATATATATATATATATATATATATATATATATATATATATATATTATATATATATATATATATATATATTGTATATATATATATATTACTGTTGGGGAGTTCTATCCACTAGTTCGGCTTTTGGTAGCAATTTTACCCGGAATAGGGGTTTGTTTTGGAATGCTTACCTTTCTGGATGCTTGACCCGGTCGATGGCAGACATAGAATGCTTCCAACTACACGGGGGTTTCTATTGGCTATTGCTCTCCTTGCCTCTCTGAGGGGGCCAGGTTCTGGCCGTGGTCCGCGGTAGGCCCTAGAACTTCATACACATGACTGATGCCAAAGTCTGACATTAGCATATCAGCCTGGTAAAGCTCCGGGGAGCCTCCGGGTCTCACCCAGAAAATGGCGTTTCATTGCATTCAATGCTGGTTTTTTGTTCTATTATTATGGGACTAGTTTTAAAATACGTGCCTTTATATTTGTGAAGAATTTGATGCCAAAATGAAAGACGTAGCACGAAAATTTGTGTCTTAAACTGAACGATTATACACATTAGATTGTAGGTGTGCCAATTGGTGCTCGTTCTTGAGTAACAGTTGGCTGACTGTAGGCTTTGCTGCGGGGAGTCACTCCGAGCTTTTGGACCTTATATGCATATACTCTTTGTAGGGTATTCACAATATCACAACGAACACAGCGAACACAATATCAAAACGAACGATGTAGCACAAGAATTAAGGTGAGAAAACTGAAACGAGTATACACATTTCAGTGTCGCCTCACACTTGCCCGCACCGCCGGGAGCATGACGTCAAAGTCTGCGGTTCGCGAAAGTGCTAAGATTTCAACTTAGATTCGACAGATCAGAAGAAGTTGTTAAATACATGGGCAAAATCTTTCTGAAGCGACCATACGAGTCATAAATACTCATACTCCGCCCAAGTAAAACAGAAACAAGCAACACTTAGTGGGCCAGCCATAGGCTAAGGGCTCGCACAGGAATATCCCTGAAAAAAAAAAAAACACGCTATCATTCATTCCTAGACTGACTCACATCTGAAACTTGTTAGCTCAACAGATTGATACACGGGATATCAATGTCATCCTTTTCCTTGAGTGTTACCTAATGTTGCTGATGAATGAAGCATATAATGCATGTAACAGGCTCATGAAATAAATGGGCCTCTAGGCATAGGTTTCAACTTAGCTGAGGAAGGATTACAGCTCTTGCTTGCAGGTTTCACCAGGTTCCTTGTATTATAGTTCCCCTGTGTGATAGTTTCAAAGTACATTCTCATGATGGATTTGTCCTTGTGGATTTGTTCACATTCTCATGAAATAAATGAGTTTCTAGGAAAAGGCTTCAGATGAACTGAGGTAGGATAACAGTGCTTGCTTGCAATTTCACTAGGCAAGTCATTTGACATCCCTTATGAACCTTAGTCTTAGTTAAAAAAGAAAGTGAGAGAGAGAGTGAGTGAGTGAGTTCGGACATAAAAATTAATAAATGAACTCAAAAAATTAATTTAAGAAATTTAACACTTGTTTTCAAGGTTAAGTACCTTTGAGACAATAAAATACATCTCTAAGGTATAGAGTAGCTTAGGCTATTTCTACCCTTCTCTAACTTTTGTGTACTGATAATTCTGAAATGCATCATTAGTACTCTGATAGTAAACGTTCCGATGAAGATAAACCCAAGAATGACTCGAACATACATTTACTTATGAAGAATTAGCCAATGTATCATTATCTCTTGCTATTTTTTGGGTGGGAGTAAAGAGGATGGAGAGGAATAGGTGAAGGGAAGTTTAGAAACGGGAAATACAGTGAGAGTTATGAAAGCAGGGGGCTGTCTGCCTTACTGACCCATTGTCTCTTACAGAACCCCTAGTTAAGTTACTTTAGGGTTTTATGGAACCCTGGTTGAGAAATGCTGCTCAAGATAATTAATTTGTGAACTTTTTGACTCCAAATTTATACAGTAGTAATAGGTCAACAAATAACTTAGAAACCATAAAAGGCTTGGAAACATTTTTCACGTCGCTGAGCAGTCCTTGAAGCCCAGAACGTTTATGGTCAGGAATGCATGGAGAGGCCAGACCACCGAAGTGTTAAAATGAGCATAAACATTTTCCACATGACTGAGTGGAGCTCAGAGAAGGTCGGATTGTTTACCACCTAGCACTCAATTATGGAGCTGAACTGCAGAAGTGTTTAAAAAGGTGATATTAACCTGAAGGAATCTACCCAAGAAAAATGCAGCATAAAATGAGATTTGCCAAAGGAGTATTACAGGTATTTGAATTAAGAGGACTCCAGGATGAGGACCATAGTACGTACTGTACTGTATACCGACATACAACACAATTAGAAAGTAGAAATCGGTACTATTGAATTTGGACAAACTGGAAAAGTTTTTCTATTTATGTTGACAAGGCAAACTAAACTAACCTAGCCTAACCTTCCCAGGCCTAATACATGCACTCTGAGTCCTAATATAGTACATGTGTGTGCTATACTAGGCCTAGGAATATTTGAGACTTGCTTAACACTTTTGCGTCTCTGGTGTGCGCGCCCCAGCCTACCTCAGTGTGCATACAGACTAAATTGTGTATACTCTTTTCAGTTTTCTCGCCTAAATTTTCGTGTTACGTCTTTCATTTTGGTATCATAATGTTCACAATAGAATTCTCTACAGGGGTTTATTCATATAAGGTCCAAAAGCCCGGCATGACCACCCCACAGTAAAGCTGAAAGTTGGCCGAGCGTTACCCCGTGAGCAAGCACCAAATGGCACACCCGCAACCTAATGTGTATACTCTTTTCAGTTTGATAACATCAATTTTCGTGTTAAGTTGCTCATTTTGGTATCATTGTTCGCAATATAAAGGCACGCATTTTAAAACTAGTTCCATAATAGAACAATTAGGGGTATACACACATAAGGTTCAAAAGCCCGGCGTGCCACCCACACCAAACCCATAAATCGGCCGAGCGTTACCAGTGAGCGCTCAAGAGCAGTAAAATGTGTGTATTCTTCTCAGTTTTCTCACCTTAATTCTCATACTATGTCGTTCCTTTTGTTATCGATGTGTTCCCAATAAAATTCCCTACAGGGTTATAGGCATATAAGGGTCAAAAGCCCGGTGCAAACTCCCCCCACCCCCACATCAAAGCCGAAAGTCGGCCAAGCGTTACCCGTGAGCGAGCACCAATTGGCACACTCGCAACCTAAGGTGTATACTCTTTTATGGTTAATAACATCAATTTTCATGTTACGTTGTTCATTTTGTATCATTGTTCGCAATATAAAGGCGAGCATTTTAAAACCAGTCCCAGAATGATCGGATAAAAAATAGAATTTTAATATTTTTTAATTTTGGACGAAGCCTGCGTCCCCGGTGAACATCCGTGAGAAAAATTTTGGACGCTGACTGCGTCTTGGGAGTGTGAAACTGTTAATTTTTTCCAGACTCCATAAAGTGAATAGTACAAAATTATAATGTCTAATTTCTTAGTATGTCAGTGTTTGCACTATGGGGCATAGTTACAAACAGTACTGTTTAAACAGGAGGATGGGTTGTAGGACTGGTTAAGGCAACTTAATCTAATAACCATACATTGAGGGCAGTGAAGAGCATAATGTGCTGAGGAAAATGTAGAAAAATACCAAGGAGATGGTAAACTACTACAGTACTACTAAACTATTAGTGCCAAAATTTTACCTGTAAAGGCTTTATCAAATCTAATTAATTTGATAAATTGGGCTGGTGCTTAAAAAGGGACAAAATGTGAGAAGGGGTGAGGTCAGATGGGTTGAGGTTATTCACTAACCTTAGCTTGAGGTGAAGGTGAGGTATGATGTATTAAAATTTATATTCATGTGCTGTTTCATTTAACAAGAAGCAATTTTAAATTTTCATTCATTCTATTCCATGGTGGTGGTGTCTGGCACCTGCAAACACATCATTGAAAAGATTGGTGAAACAAATCAACATCATTTCTCCCATTTAATAAACTAATACTTCATAAATAATAATTGTATTGCACAATTTCTCATCGCCCATTACTGTGGGATAAATTAAAAAATAGAAATGTCATGTGTTATACAAAATTAATGCCATATTGCTTGGGTCATGTTAACATGGGTCTAAACCTTTAATTTACCTTAACAGTGTGAAAGCCCATCCACTTGTACAGGTCAGTAGAGCGACGGTATCGTCTCTTACAGGTCAGTTTTTGATCCTCGATGGTTCAAGTGGTTGAGTATCATTCTTTCAGTCTTTCCTTATATCCCTTTGTGTGCTGGTCATACTGTCTTTGTACTTTCTCCTCTTAATTTCCTTTCCTTTCCTTAACAGCGTGACAGCTCAACGAGGTGTTTGGCTCGCAAGAGTTTGAAACGGGCGTTAGTGATTGCAAGGAATGCTGAATTTAAACAATCTTTAATGTCAAAGGTGTGAATTTCGTCTTTAAGCACCTAGATGCCTTGAATACTTAGTTCATTATCAACTGTGAAGGAAAAGTACAGTACTGTATTGATATGATAATTTAATGTTAGTTTGGGACATGTACGGTATTAGGTAGTAAAAGTAGTTTAGTTGTTAAATTGTTTAGTATGTAATAGTCATTGTCAACCTTAAAGTGAGTATTATTATGTTAATGTTAGTTTTGGCCATGTACTGTAATAGGTAGTAAAAGTAGTTGGGTTAAAATTTTACTATGTAATGTCTGAATTTAATGCCCCTTATATGATTTTCCCCATTGATGTACAGCAATTATAATACCTGTATTGTACTGTGGCATCATTAGCTCTTTCAATTTTTAGTGTGTACAGCTTTGCTTCCCTTCCTCCATGACAAATGTCCCATTTTCTGTATTTTTAACCCATCACATGCGCATATCAACTGGGGTTGTTTCATTGTTGGTATACACATCGACAGAATTTGATTTTAGGTCTAGTGTAAGCTTTAAAACTCGAGGGTACACACTCACTTCCTCGGACCCCCAGTAAACTGATGCCATCTTTGGAAATAATCATAGGCACCCATCCTGGCTGTGATATCCTCAGTATTGAGAGAGCGACCGTGAGTAGCGCATGTAACAGCAGCAGCAGCTCATGGCATCATCAAGCATTTCGTACCTATAGCATCTCTTAATAATGCTGAAATAAATAAGTAACTGTAATTATTTAAAAAAAATTAGTGTCATAAGAGATCCTAACAGTGATAAACTTTGTACCTGTACAAGAGTCATGTCACTAACTCCATGCTGGTTATGGTACTGTGTGCAAGGCACACAGTCGTGGTTTGGTGTATGCATGCTTCATGCAAAGAGACGACATGCTCCTTTAGAAAATGAACATGTGAAAAATTATTTATATTCAGAATTTAGTGACACGGATTCTGATAACAGCATTGTTTTGACTAGTGTTGTGCATAGTATATCAGGTGGCACTTTGCTTCATCATGTGCTGTCAGTAACTAAAGAGTGTGTAAGGCTATGCTGTGCTTGTATCTATGTTTACAAGAATACAGTGGCCCTGCTATTTACGAATTTAATCTGTTCCAGAGATGATTCGTAACCCGAAAATTCGCAATCGGAAACGAATTTCCCCCATAAGAAATAATGTGAATTGAATTAATCCATTGCACACTTCCAAAAATATTAACTTCAAAATATATTTCTTATTTAATTCGCATAAATATTTAGTACTATAGTATGTGCAAGTTATAGCTTACCCTTATTGATGACTCTTGTTGGTGTATGGAAGACGGTGAGGGGGAGGAGGAGAGGTGTTAGTGTTTGGAAGGGGAGTCCCCTTCCATTATATCATCAGGCAGTGATGACCTCTCTGGGGTACTCTCTCTGGTACGTTTTGCCTGCATACCACTAAGACCTGCTTGTGGCTCACTGCTTGTTTTTTTTTTTCACTAAAAACCTGTCCATAGAGACTTAGTTTTTTCCCCTTCGTTGTAACACTTGTCTGTAGTGAGGCATCACAGTGTCATTAACACTTTCGCGCTTTATATTAGAGATAACTCGTCGCCGTTTTCTCTTACGATTCCGCATAACTGCCTACTTTTCTCGTCCATCGAAAAAATATTTCTATAAATTCCATTTTTTAACCGAAATGGATGGGGATACTTTTGTTTTGTAGAGAATTTATTTGCGAATGTTTTGGTACAAGAATGAATATTATATCACATAAACTTCTATGAGTAAAAAAAAAAATACACAAAGTATGTTTGGGGGTGTGGCGAGCGTGTGGCAGTGGGTTCCCTTTAGCCGTTGATATATCCAACACGTGGGAAATATTTGTATGTGTTATGTATATGTCTGTGTAGGGAATTTTACTGCGATCCCTGTCATACAAATTATAAAATGTTTCAACAAGTATAAACATGACAAACATCAAACGAACGAAAACAATGCGTTCGTTTCTGCCGCGAACGCATACTGAGCGACGTGGTTCTATATTTGGCGCTTCTCTTACACATGCTTTGTACAAATGTTATACATTTCATCTTATAGAAAATTTTATTGCGAACACATTGGTATAAAAAAGAAATACGTACATAGAAAAGTAGGGTCAGGAAACGTATAAACTTTCCAAGCATGATTTCCCCCCTGTGTTTTCGCCAGTGCGCTCGCGGCTAACTACTCTCCACTTCACACACTCTTGCGGGTGGGCAATTACCTATATTAAACATTTATATGCATATGTTCGTGTAGAGAATTTTATTGCGATTCCAATGATACCAAAATTAGCGATGTAGGACAACTGTAGGCTTCGCAACCATTAAGAGAGTGGAAACATTTTGTTGCTGTTTGGCGCTCTCGGCGAGTGATCTGCATAGTTTTTTATTTGGTGTTGATACTCCTTATGCTTGGGCGGCATTTTATAGGTATGCTCTTATAGACAATTTCATTGCGAACACAGTGATACCAAACTTAAATACGTGCGCCTTCAATTATTGTCAGGACAGTCAAAAGAGTGTACACTTTTCGGTCTTACCGCGTAGGCGCGCGAAGTGCCGAAAGCATCTGGGGTATTGTTTTTTTTTTTGAGCGCCGAGAGCGCGAAAGTGTTAGAGGTTAAAGCAATGGCCTACTACAGCTAGCTCTGGGTAAGTCATTTCAACAAAAGTTTGCATTTCTTCCCATAGTCTACATCATTTCTTAATTGTTGAGGAAGGGACATTCTGTACTGCCTCCTCCCCTGAAGAAATTTCCTCAGCTGCCTCTTGTTGCTGCTCCTTGTGAAGGGCCAGGATTTCTTCAGGGGTCAGTTCTTCACTGTGTTCCTCCACCAACTCTCAACACTGAATGCCACTTTTTTCTAAATTTCTCAAACCATCCCCTGCTCGCCTTAAATTCTTTTGTATTTGCATCACTCGTTCCAGGGTTTTCTTTAAAAGGTTTTCATGCAATTTTCTTGCTTTTTTGCAAATGATGGCCTCTGAAAAGCCATCACCTGCTAACTTCTTGTTGTGTATCCAAATTAATAACAACTTTTCAATATCCTCAAGTGTTTGTGTTCTTTGTTTTGTGATTGTTGATACCCCTTTTGCCACATTTGCACTCATAATGTCCTTTTTCTTAGCAATTACAGTGCATATCGTTGACATAGATTTGTTGTACTGCCTAGCTAGTTCAACAACTCGTGTACCATTTTCATGTTTACGAATAAGCTCTTGTTTTGCTCTATGGTTATCCCCACATGTGTTTTCTTAGGTTAAACCTTACCACTGATGTTCTTGGGACCCATGGCATGATATATAATACAGTGTGTCTTCACTTGAACAAATTACATGGGATGAAGCCGATTTGTTCCAGTGTGAAATTCATTCCATCCATCCAACCCCAACAACCCTCTTCAAAAAATGATAATTTTTTTTTAATACATATGCCAGGACATATTTGCATTAGGAAAAATTGCACCCGACTCAGAGTCCTTGCTGGTGCTGGGTGCTGGTCCTGTAGGCCTATTATGAAACTGTACCAAAAACTTTTGAATCTTGGTTTGTTTCTTAGTTGTGTGCTGCTTCATTATAATATCTTTCATGCCCTTTAGGTATCGATAATAATCAGCCAGCTCTTCATCGTCAGTCACTTCTGACACCATCCCCCACCACTGACACCACCAGACTTCTCTTGACACCATCTCCCACCACTAACACCACCAGACTTCTCTTGACACCACCAAACTTCTGACACCATTCCCCACCCTGACACCACCAAACTTCTGACACCATTCCCCACCACTGACACCACCAAACTTCTGACACCATTCCCCACCCTGACACCACCAAACTTCTGACACCATCCCCTACCACCAGGCTTCTCTTAACACCATCCCTCCACCACCAGACTTCTCTTGACACCACCATTTATTATGAATTCTTCATTTTGACTAATTAATATAATAAAGCAATGTTACAAGCAACTGAAATGGTAAACTATTCTTGAGTTTAGTACAGGCTGTATTGAGGCAGCAGCGGGGAGCCACAAGGGGCAGCAGTCAGCTGGTCACTCAGGCCAGACTTGGAGGCGTCTCATTCAACACTCCCGACACTCACATAAAGGCTAGCTGACTTCCTAACCCCCCTAATACTTACTCCTCACCACTGACACACACATTTATTATGAGTTTTTATTTTGACTATGGAATACGATAGAAGGGTGTTACAAACAATTGAAATGGTAACTTTTTCTCGGCCAATTTATTGGAAAAAAAAAAGCAGTGAGTGAGTGAAACATCGAGGTGGCGGCAGCCGGTGCCAGCCATGTGTGGCCAATTACTGTAGCTGAGATCTCGCCACCACTGACACCACCTGCCTCCCTTGAGAACAGCTTCCACCACTGACACTTGCCTCCCTTGACAACAGCTTTCACTACTGACACCACTTGCCTTCCTTGACAACAGCTTCCACCACTTGCCTCCCCTGACAACAACTTCCACCACTTGCCTCCCCTGACAACAGCTTCCACCACTGACACCATCAGTCTTTTGTGACAACACTGACATTACCTGCCTCCAATGAGAAAAACTTCCATCATCTCCCCCTCCCCCCCCCCCAACACCAACCCTCACCAATGACACTACCTGCCTCCCCTGACACCATTCTATCATCCTTCAACCATTTCTCCCTGGAAACAATGGATAAGCAAAATAAAACACAGTATAACTGTTTACACTTTGGTTGATGACAGCCACCTCAGACGCTCGGTCTCGGTAACCGCTTGAACGAACAATCCTCACTTAATCGAACATCTGTATGTTCCACTGAACATTTAATACTGAATTCAATTTGTTTGGATCATCTGGGAATTCGATAGAGCGGGATTCATTAGACTGAGGATGCACTGTAATTACTTTTATGTTCAGAACCCCAAAAAAGCCGAAAAACAATGAAATTCCTTACAAAGAATTCATACGGAATTGTCACTTAGCTGGAGGCACTGGTAAACTGAAGCGCGAGCGACTGTGCCACCAGGAACCATGAGCTAGGTCGCCCATATGCGTATCAACAAACTTCGTTACCTTAGGCAAAGCATTCGTTAGCCAAGTTGTTACTGTGTCACACTTATTAGAATTGCTTAGCGGTTCATGACATACTTAAAATGTAGTTGTATATATGCATTTATGTGTTTATGGGTCTGGAACATGTGATGGGGAACATAATACTGTACTGTACACTTGTTTTTGCATCTATTCTCTAGAAATTTAATTTGTGAACATTTTGACACCAAATTTATAGATACAGTATAATGCAACAAATATTTTAGAAAACATAAAATAATTGTAAAAATTTTTTTACATTACTGAATGGCCCAGGGAATGCAGAACATTTACTTTTGGAAACACACATAGGTCGGGTTGCCAAAGTGTTAATTGAGAGCATTTATGGTATACAGTACAGTGGTACCTCCGTTTTCAAATTTAATCCGCTCCCACAGACTGTTTGGAAACCGAAACGAATTTTTCCGTATGAAATAATGTAAATTGAATAAATCCGTTCCACACCCCCAAAATTATTAACTTAACCAATGTGATGTGCCGAATTTATTGTGACAGTCCCCCTGTGCACATGAAATCAAGTGTTCCCATAAAAAAAAATTTTGTTTGTAAAATGATAAATTCTCTTCCCTGAACATGTCTATGTAAAAATAAATACCAAATTCCACTTACTTTGCCTGTGGGGACATGGACAAGGTGCACTGTGACGTCATCACGGGCTGGTCGCCCGTGCGTGAAGCTCCCAGAGGCGGTTGCGCGGGTCATTCAAGCACCACAAGTTGCCATATATATAGTTTCAATTATTTGTTCTATTTACTGTATTTCCAATGTGGTTTTACAGTACTGGGTATTTGGTTTTTTATCGTATATGATGCATATTTGTGTCCTTTACAATATGTATACAATAGAATGTTCATACTGTTCCATGGAACTGTAATACATGTCAGTAATGTGTCCTCAATAAATTTTTGTTGCCATATTACTTGTTAAAAATTCACTAAAATTACAATATGTACAGTTTCACACACTATTTACACAATAACACACTGTATTACATACTCAGTACTTCGGAAGTGAGTAATAATCAACGAAGTAGTCCATGGTACACAGTGCGACTCCGCTCTTGTTGCACCAGGTACAGATAGATTTTCCCTTCCTGTTTCTTCTTTGTGTGCTTGCAAATAACACACTCACGTTCACCATTGGCTTGTAGGTGGTATGTAGCCAAGCTTGTAAAGCCTAAGGTAGTCTTGAAAACATTATAGGAAAAAATCAATTTGTAAGGTAGTCCTAAAAAGATCGCTTTGTAAGATCCCTGACTGGAAGAGATTCAGTTATTCTTGGAGAGTGTCAGTCAATCTGGAAGATATTGTCATTCTGGAGGAGATTCAGCCATTCTCAAAGAGTGTTAGTCAATCTGGAAGAGATTCAGCTATTCTTGAAAATATCTATGGAAAACACCACCATGGAAGCCACTAACACTGTTCATCTATCCTACTTGAATCAGATGCATCATCACTGAACCCAGAAAATGATTTATCTATGTATCATCTATATAAATTAGAGATGGCATAGACGAGCAAGGGATGCGCTCAGAGCTACAACTGGATGCGCTCAGAGCTACAACTGGATACGCTCGCTGCATTACTTGCATCTGATCTTTGTGTTAGGTCCTTATTGTGCCCAGCTTCATCAATATCAGGACCCTTATGTTCTTTTAGCAATAGAGTCTGAATTTCACTGACAGAGCGTTCTTTCAACACCACGTCGGACAGGTGTTTGGGAGCCAGAGGCGCATGCGCCACCCATGGTTGCTCACTCAGTACTAACCCAGCCAGCAGCCCTAGGACATTCTGGGAATTTTTTCCAAGATGGCTGCCTCACTGGAGGTCTCAAGAGTCCATTTTGTACCCAACCTACCGCAAGCGCGTTTCGGCCATTTACGAAAACACAAAAAATACTTTTGTTGGTTGGCGCAGCAATGGGCGAATGGCATTTGTCTTTTGGCGCAGTGCAGTGGTTAAAAATACATTTTATACATACAGTACTACTATTAATATTTTGTACTACAGTATGTACAAGTATATATTACCTTTATTGAGGACTATTGTTTGCGTAATGGAAGATGGTGAGGAGGGTGGGGGGAATAAGGAAAGGTGTTAGTGTTTGGAAGGGGAGTTCCCTTCCATTATAATAGCTGTGATGACACTAATGGGGTACTCTTACGTTTTGCAGGCATTCCACTAGAACCTGGGTTGTGGCTCACTGCGTGATTGTCTTACTAAGAATCTGTCTATAGACACTTGTTTTTTCCCTACATTTTAACACTTGTCTGTAGTGAGACATCACATTGTTTCACTATGAATGATCTCTTGTTTTGATCTTTTTAGAGAATGATCTCTCGAACTGAAAAATTTGAAAACCGAGGTGTCACTGTATACGTAATTATAGTAAATATAATTATATAGCATATTTAGACGCTAATATCTCTAGTGAGAAAGTCAGTATGAGCTGTGATGAAGGTTCGAACCTATGTGCTGGGTGTTCCCAGGCACATTGATGCATCACATTAGTGTGATTACTCTCTAATATCTCTGATGTAAAAAAAAAATAGCAGCTGTATAATGAGATCAAACCCATGTACCTGAACACCCCCAGGTGTGCACACTACCATATGGGCTATGATGGGCTAAAAATATTTCAACCATATTTTCTCATACATTCACCTTGTTCTTATTTCATTTTGACTTATTTCACCTTGTTCTCATTTCATTCATTCTCCGATATGTCCTATAATTTTCAATGTGACACTTCTATTTCAGTCTCCAGAGGGTTGTGGCACTCGTATGAGTCCTTCAGCCAGAACTCTATCTCCAGCTTGCTTGTCTGAAAAGGTTTGATCAGTTTGTTTTATATTTTGCATTTCTAATTTATATTGAATTCATATGCAGAGAATAAGTCACAGTAACATGGTTGAAACAAAGAACCCAACCAACATGTATGAAACAAAATTGGTAATGTTTTGATCCATGCCTTGTCAAGTTGTGACATCTACACTGGTTTCATACAAAAACACCTTGTTGGTTTTGTTCCTGTAGCTATTTTATCCGCTAATCCTTTAACCCTTAAATGGCGCATGGCCATATACCATTTGACACCCACAGGTGCATAAAAAAAAAAAAAAAAAAAAAATCTTCCTAACCTGTTAATTTGTGTTCACTGATCATGGGAAAAAATAATAAAAAAATTGTAAGTGGTATATATTGCCCGCTATAGGGCGGGGAAATCTGGCAAAAAACAGGTGCTGACTCGGCGTGCGTCCCATGCGGTCTGTTGATCGCCAGCTGTCAGGCCGGAGTTGCCACAAAGAGCCTAATTATTTCAATGTGTCCGATTGACTTTTCGTAGTTTTTTTGCTGTAATATTCAATAGTGTGTAGTGTGATATATTTATATAATAAAATGAGTGAATCATCGCTGTACTAAAAAATATGGTGTGCATATTGTTGATTCAATTATATTCATCAAACAGTGAACAAATGCTTTGTCGGTTATTACACTATATACACAGGTTATATATAAGTATCTGCATGTTTTGTTCACCATAACGAACCACTAAGTTGGCATGGTGAGTGGCAGTGCCAGTGCCAGCCCGCCACTGGCTGCTACTTCCTCCCTCCCTCAAGTCACCTGACTCACCCACATTCTCCTCCCACAATACTGTTTTTGCTTTTATTCGCTATATACAGACGCTATATATAAGTATCTACATTCGTGTTCATCATAACGAACCAGTAAGTTGGTATGCTGAGTGGCAGTGGCAGCCTGCCACTGGCTGCCACTCCCTCCCTCACCTCACCTCACCTCACCTGACTTGCCACTATACTGTTTTTGCTTTTATATACAGACATTATATATAAGTATTTATATGTTTTGTTCACCATAACTGTACATCTAAGCTTGTATGGTGAGTAAAGGCACAAAGACGTAGCTACTCACACAGTCAGCTGATGGCTGCCGCCCTCAAGGCCAGACGCACTAATATTTCTCCTCCAACAATACTGTTTGTGGTATTATTACGCTATATACACACATTATATATAAATATCTACCTGTTTTATTCACCAAACTTGTACAAGTAAACTGGTATGGTGCTCAAATACTCAAAGACCATCGTGGTCACCAGTAAACAACATGATAAATAGTGCAGACGATGCCACCGCCCTCACCAAAATGGCGGCTCCCAACCTACTCCTCTTGCTGTTTATACCCTCTACACACACGTTATATATAAGTATCTACATTTGTGTTCTTCATAGCGAACCACTAAGCTGGTATGGTGAGTGCAGTCAATAAAAGGTGGCCACATACAATCAGAAGACAACGTCACTACCCTCCCTCCCACAGCATTACTCCTCCCTCCATGGAGCACAGTACTAAATATCACCACAATTCTGCTATTATCAGAACCCTGGTCAGTTTTATCACAGTCAGGGGGTCTTCTGTAATAATATCATTGCTACATAATAGCATGAACAAGTATATTATGGCATTTTTAGGCGATGCTGTGGTCACAAGCTGAACAGCAGTGCTGTGAGTTCATGCTGCGTGTGTCAGGCTTGGTAGCTTACTCAATACTGAGGCCCCTAACACCCGGGAATTTGGCCCACGATTTTTTTTTTAAATGGCGTCTGTTTACAAGCGCCCTGATGAAGGTGTGGTGAACCCCGTGTATCCGCGGGCCGTTTAAATCTTGTGTAGTACTCCAAAACATCATATGATGCGATGCGCAATTTACTGCAAGTTGGTCAAAGCATCATATGATGCGATGCGCAATTTAAGGGTTAAATCACTTTTAGGGAATTTTTCACATGTACAGGCTGTTTATCCCTCTTGGATAAAAACATTATCACACTCAACCCTCTATCCTTCATGTAGATGTGAGATGAAGTGTTTGTTTGAATGTGAAAATAGTAAATACAGAATGCATAATTTTTCCATGTTCAATTTGACAAAATATTAAATCATAGTTGTTGTTAGTTGAATAATAGTAAATTATTTGTACTTCTAATTCATTCATATCATCCTAATTTTGTGATACAGTGATATAAGTTATGCCAATATATATGCCTTTGCACTTTAATATTAGTGACTAGCCTCACTTTGTCTTTACGATATATCATTTTTCAAATTGGTAGCTCAAAGTCACTTACATTATGCCTAAAATGTAAGTTTGATTTAGATTGTTGTACACCTGTATAGTGCAGGCAGTATTTTAGTGATTTGTACAAGTTGTTACAGATTACGTTTCAGATTCTCATGATAACAGTGTCTACATGCGATGTTGTTATCGTAACACAATATACAGTGCTGTATGGGCCAATACTCCCTTCTGCAGTTACCTTCATTCTTATGTACTGTACTTTTAATATAAACTTCCGTTATAAAAGAACTACCATTTATGAATGAGTCTTAATTCACTTGAATACACAGAAGGTATATGAGGGGATTATGGAAGATCTTCGGGTTGGCTATTGTTCAGTGGAATGCACTGCATTGTGTAAGGTTACTCGGGGCTAACCCCGTCTCGACTTCCCAACTGTGCGGACTAGACAAAGCTCGACCCACATTCTTACGTTAAAAAAAACTCAAATTCACTAAATGAGAAAAAAGTTATCCTGGCCATAGCCTACTTCTAATAGTTTCCAAATTTAGGCATGGAAGAGGAGCGCTGACCACCTGTTTGTAAGTTACTCGCACTGCAATGTCAGCCTAGGCCTTCTCTCGCCGTAACTCTCCCTCTTGGTACAGCCAGCTAGTTAATGTTCAGATCATTCTGTCTTAGCTTATAACCAACCCAATTGTTGCAAGGTAGGGGGCAATGATAATCATTAAGATGTTTATAACTTTACTTCAAATATCATGTATCTCAATATAAATGTCTGCAACTCTCATCAATATCATTCACAAATATATACTGGATATATATATTTATTTATTAAGACTATCCTAGTGTGAGATTATCCCTTTCGAGGTGAATAGGTTACAAAGTATCTATTGGCCAGATGAGCTCTTCGTGGTGCTCAAAATAATAATTGAACAGCACCACGTGGGCACCAGAAGCGACCTCAATAATAATACATGTGACCTCAGTCAGAAAGGACTGAGCTAGCATCAAACAAGTGCTGAGGGCAGATCATACTTTAATGACTGACCAGGGATGCATAGAGCAACATGCAGGAGTCCAAATCGTTGACACGCCTTATCCACTGAGTCGTGGAGCTTCTGGTACCACTTTGGGTGGTAATCAGAGTAGCTCATATGGTTCTCACATCAAATATATTTTTATTTGATGTGTATGGCCATGAAAAGTGTTAAAGTCCAAGTAATCCAGGCAACATACAAATGATCACTATTTAAAGAGAACCGGCAAAGCAATGACTAGATGCAAATGTTGGGAGCCGGTCGGCCGAGCGGACAGCGCACGGGACTTGTGATCCTGTGGTCCTGGGTTCGATCCCAGGCGCCGGTGAGAAACAATGAGCAGAATTTCTTTCACCCTATGCCCCTGTTACCTAGCAGTAAAATAGGTACCTGGGTGTTAGTCAGCTGTCACGGGCTGCTTCCTGGGGGTGGAGGCCTGGTCGAGGACCGGGCCGCGGGGACACTAAAAAAGCCCTGAAGTCATCTCAAGATAACCTCAAGATAGAAGGAAGGGTTTGGAAGGTGTGAACGTAAAGGCACAACAAACAGTTTATTCAAAAAACTTAATACTAAACGATACATGGGAAGAATAATCTGACGTTACAATAATGTCTGTCGTGGCGCTTGACAAGGCTAGGCTAACTGGAATCACTGCTTCCAGTTCGGACCGCTCGTGGTGCTAACGCTAACTAATTGCAGCTCATCACGACTGCGGCAAGCAATACTACAACACAGTGAAACGTCAGACAGACAGACCCGTCACAGAGACTAGTATTTCGTGCAACACTCAGTTAATTACGTTAACACAATAACAGACAGATGACAATTGATCCAATCAATTACAATCAAAGGAAAACAGATGTTTACTTAGTAAATCCAATTACGTTATTATGTCACCAAGACATACAAATCAAAACAATGTAAAGTACATTAACACACACTGCCAACACAGACAGGCTAACAGATCAAAACAATGTCAATGAAATCAACAATAGCTTAAGGGTAATTAGCAATCCCTGAGTAATTGTTCAAGGGTCTGTCACAACTTGACAGCTTAACTCAATTCATGAAGAATTTACGTTATAGCTCGGTGTCACTGAGACCGCTTAACAAACACCGATTAGTCAATACGATTACTAATCACCGCGAACTAAATCAAACGATGATCAATTACATTAAATTAATACACTGATCTCTCAAGAACAAAGAACACTGGGTACACTGACTACTCTGACTACTCTAGAATACTCCCCAACCAATAAACGGGGACGGCACATACACAATATACACCGGTTTATACACTAGTGTGATATTTGCTGAAGGCTGACTGAATCACGCTGAAATATCTTTGGAGGGGCACCACAAGGGGCGCGCTGGGGAACAGTGGCATGGGCGTGAAAACAGAGTCCATGCTTCCCGCTATTTTAAAGATTTAAACATGGTCTTCACTCAAACACTTGGAATCACCACTTGATTCTATTTTCCACAGTTTGCTGAGCAATAAAATGGCGGATTGCTCTTGGTGGAACCGATAACTCATGATCACTTGAACACAGTCTGGTTGCACCTATGGGTAATGCTTGCTGACGGCTAAGACTTCACGTATCTTTGTTAAATTTGACTTCTAGCGCCACCCCGTTACTGTAGGATTCTGCAACTGCAGTGGAGGATGGTGTAGAGTCAAATTAGGC